TTTTTTTTTTGTTGTTGTTGAGACTGAGTTTCGCCTCATTGCCCAGGCCGAAGTGCAATGGCGAAATCTTAGCTCACCGTGCCTCCTGGAATCAAGCAATTCTCCTGCATCACCTCTCGAGTAGCCGGGATTACAGGCCTGTGCCACCACCCCCAACTAACATGGTATTTTTAGTAGAGACAGGGTTTCTCCACGTTGGTCAGGCTGGTCTCAAACTCCCAACCTCAGGCGATCTGCCCGCCTCGGCCTCCTAAAGTGCTGGGATTACAGGTGTGAGCCACCATGCCCAGCAGGGAACTGCATTTTTAAGAGACAGGGTCTCGATCTGTCACCAGGCTGGAGTGCAGTGGCACAGTAATAACTCCTGGGCTCCTGTGATCCTTCTGCCTTGGCCACCCAGGTAGACAGGACTACAGGTCACAGGCACGTGCCACCATACCTGGCTAATTTTTGTATTTTTTGTAGAGAGAAGGTCTCACTATATTGTCCAAACTGGTCTCAAACTCCTGGCCCCTAGTGATCCTCCTGCCTGGGCCTCCCAAAGTGCTGAGGTTACAGGCGTGAGCCACCATGCCCAGCTGTAATCTTCATTCCTAGTAAATGTTCCAGCCACCTGACTCTGGTTCAGATTCTTGGCCCTGGCTATATGTTGGAACCACACAAACCAATTGAGTCAAAATGTCTAGGCATGAGGCCTAGGAATCTGCCTTTTAAAGCTCTCCTGCAATCCCCCAGGATGTAGCTTTGGGCGTGGGGAGCATCACACAAGGAGAACAGGTGCTGGGCTTCACCTCCTGGCTGTGGGCCAGGAGGACCTGTGTGCCCCACACCAACAGCTGGGATTCAAGCGTGGTGGGTCTGCGCGGACATGCCGTGTCTGGGCTCCTGAAATCTCACTGTCCCCTCTGTGTCAGGCAAGGCCAGGGTTCCCCTGTATGCTGATCTGAATCATCACTGGGGAGCCCAGCTCGACCTAGACTCCTAAGGCCTTCACCTGGAGACCCAGCTCCCCACTCCTCGGCACCAGCGAGCACAGCACATTAAAACTCTGGCCTCGGCAGGAGCCCTGCTGACCACAGAGGCCTTGCATGGAGCCACCGCAGCCTCTCCTCCATAAATCCTCCCAGCAGCCTAGTGTACACGGCAATTTCAGAAGTTCCTGAGTGGTTAAAGAAGTACTACCTTGGCCGGGCACGGTGGCTCCTGCCTGTAATCCCAGCACTTTGGGAGGCTGAGGCAAGTGGTTCACCTGAGGTCAGGAGTTACAGACCAGCCTGGGCAACACGGTGAAACCCCATCTCTACTAAAAATACAAAAACTTAGCTGGGCCTGATAGCAGGCTCCTTAGTCCCAGCTACTCAAGAGACTGAGGCAAGAGAATCTACTTGAACTTGGGAAGCGAAGGTTGCAGTGAGCTGAGGTCGCACCACTGCACTCTAGCCTGGACAACAAGAGGGAAACTCC